GGTCTCCAACCAAACCAATTTTTACCGGCCTTTGTTAAGTATACTCCATCTCCATCCAAGAACCCATCATTCTTATATTTCTGGCTGTGGTCCCAAAATCAGAACCTTTTCCTTAGATTCCATCTTTTTAGCCTCATGCCTACTGCTCTCTTTTCCATTAGTAGTAAAAAAAAAATCTTGTGACCCTGAAGACGTTTCCCCCCGATGTTTGCCTGGAATTTCCCCATAACTCTGCTTTTTAGTTCAAGTCTTCTTCTGATGCTATCTCTGGGGAATAGTGGTCAAGTCTGAGAAGTCTTCTAGGCTGTTCATCCATTCCAGGATAGATGGCATGGGAAGAGATGCACCTCTTCACTTACCAGACTGACAAATCAGATGGGCAGAGCTGAATGCCCCCTCTGCATGTTGCCTTGTATCACCACCGCCTACCTCTCATGGCTGACCACCGCTAACTAATGGCACCTGGGGAGCCACCTCATCATGCCTTAGAGTGCAAGCTGATTCTGCCCCCAGGGTTGGCCAATGACCCACTCCACACAAGGAGCCTCATGGCTCTTCCCTCCAAGTGTGCAATTCTCTTTCTTACCCTTCTCTGGGTAATATTCTTCTAACCTTCAGCCTCCTGATCCAGGCTACCATTCCCCTTGGCTTTTACACATCATTTTCCTTCTTTCTTTCCTCCTCAAAGCACTCCTTATGTTCTTCCAGGACTGCTTCATTCTGCTTCTGACCTCTCAGCTGACCAGCCCCATCTCTTTGATGCTTTCTGAGAAGTCATGACAACATTCCCTCTTCATTCCACCTCCCTAGAACAAAACTCCCTTCCCTGGAGATCCCTCCCCTGAAGAGTTTTTTATTTGTATTTTTTGGTACCTTTAGAGTTTAGCACAATACCTACAGCTAGATTATGGAGCCAAAAGTCAAACTTATTAGCTATGTGATCTTGGGCAAGTCACTTAGCTGCTGGCTGCCTCAGTTTCCTCAACTGTAAAATGGAAATAGTAACACCTTTCTCCCAGGGTTGTTGTGAGAATCAAATGAGATAATGTTTGTAAAATGCTTTGGCTCATAGGAGGGGCTAAATAAATGCTTGTTTCTTTCCTTCCTGGCATGTAATAAATGCCTTTTCACTTTTTCCTCTTATCTGTCACCTATCAATCTCCTTGACTGGATAATTACCCATATCATGTTCCCTAACCCTGGATGACCTAAAAGCTCTTTCTAACTCCCCTCACACACCCTCCATGGAGAATCTACCCAACTTGCTGGATGGCTTCTGCTATTTCTCATGGTGAGATAGATATTAGGGGCACTCTTAAACAAAATTTCTTCCTTCTTCCCTTCCTTCCTCCCTCCCTCCCTCCCTTCTTTACGCTGCAAGTCTGTCTTACTTAAATTCAGTTCATGCATATACCATCCCCCATGATGTCATTGGTCCTCTTCAAAAATGAAGGTTCAACAACAATAACAACATTGTGGGCTGCGTTGACTTTTTCTATGACGTCTGGCCGAGTTCTCCATCGTATTTCCTCATCTTCTTCCTTCTCTTAGGTGATGTTGGTACAACTATTCAATACACCATTATCTTTATGACACTCTTTTTGCCTACCATGCACACTTTAAAGCAAAATGACCATTGGCCCATGAAATGATGTTTCTTGATGACTCGGATGAGAGTCATTCTATCACCTCCTTTATTTGCTTCTCTCCAGAGAATCTGTGAGCCTCCTTCCACTGAGCCATAACTTCTTTCATATTCTGTTTCATTCGTGGTGAAAATATCAATATTGATATTTTTAGTTCCTCCCTTAATAGGTGAGCTCATTGGCCATTGACTGAAGAGCTCACATTGAGGGCTCCACCCATAAAGTTCAATGGTCATTGGATTATAGGTCGAGAGCAGGCCTGCACACCCTGCACCCTGCGGGCTGCTTGCAGAACACCAAACTAAGTCATGCTGTCTTCTCACTGTGGTAGAAAAACTCTCTGACTCTTAGCACCTACCAGCCCCCCTGCCCTGCTACCACCACTGCACAGGCAGAAGGGGCCAACCAGAACTGAGGGTCATTTTGCATTTATCTTTATTTTTTCAGTTGCCATGGTCAAAAATTCTCTCATAGAAGGAAAAGAAAGAAGTCAAGGAGACCTTTGGCTTCTGCATGTCATTTGGGCTCCCTCCAATATCACATGTACTTCAAGGTGTTTGCAGATTGCTGTAAATGTTTGAGTCCATAAATCAATCTCCTGGTCTTCTTGTTTATTTCCCATGCTTGTTTCTTTCGGAACAAGAAGTTTCTAGAACACCACACAGTGCTGCCCTAGGCTATTTTTTCTCCTCTAAACCTTTCAAACAAAGTTCGCAGCCCTAGCTTAAAGTCTTCCCAAGGAGACTGGTCTTACCTTTCTTGTCCTTAGAGATCCATTTTCTCCCAGGGATACTTTCTTCTGGGCTACTATCACCATGATCAAGTAATGCAAAATAGAATTAGTAACCCAACTCACAAAGTGATACCCAAGATACAGGGGTTCTTAGCTTGGGGTGTATGAACTTATTTTTATATATATTTTGACACATATATTTAAATAGAATTGGTTTTCTTTGTAATCCTATGTATTTTATTTTATGTATTTAAAACATTATTCTGAGAACGGGCCCATGGGCTTTACCAGATTGCCCAAGACATTCAGGACACACACACACACACACACACAAAGACCTCTGATCTAGGACCCAACCCACTTCACAAACCACCTTCACAGGGTAGGTTTGGAAGGTACTCCTCGAGCTGCATCTTCAACCTGGCAGTCTTTAAAGGACCAGGGGCCAATGAGGTCTTGTTGCTGTCCTCTCATCAGCAGAGGTGGTGGAATGCTCTCAGTGGAGCAGTGATGCCAATGGGACCTAATGGGAGCAGGGAATCTTGGACCTTAAGGAGCATCTGGCTTCCCGTGCCACTGACAGAGCTCAGTGAGCCTCTGTCTGCCATCATCCTCACTGGGTTGAACATTGTCCAAGGGGTAGCTTTTCCCCCTCAAGCTCTGGAAGGTTTGTCTTTTCACATCCCACAGAACAGTGAATGTTCTGGGTATTTGGAGCACCTGACGCACTTAAAGCAGACCTCACTTCACAGAGGACATGACTGTTCCCACCCATTCAAAGACCAAGCAAAGGTTTGAAGGCGTCATCAGCAGAATAACCAGGCCTGTGCCCAGTAACTCTGGAAATTTTATGGAGAACACCATATAAAGATTGAAATAGACCCAAGCTCTGAGACTTTGAAAAGATTTTATTTTCCACCTTTAAAAATGCTTTTTAAATAGAGTCTTTGAGGGTTTATTTTGCACAGGAATAAAATCCTTTCATTGTAAACTGGTAATAACTCTGGGTGTGTACAGTGCACCATTTCATAAAAATCCTAGGTTTCAGTTTTGGCTAACGATCATCAGCTCCAACCTCCTTACCTTATGGAGGAAATATGGTTCAAGGGAAACAGCAGTGGGTTTGGAGTAAGAGGGCTTGGGTTCAAGTCTTGCCTCTGCCTCTGTTTACCCATGTGACCTTGAGCAAAGCACATTTTCACACATCTTGATTTCCCTTTTTGAAAAATGAGTGGGAATGAACTGGAATATCAGATCCTGGCTATGTCATTCAATACCTATGTGACCTTGGGCAAGTCACTTATTCTGCCTCTATCTTGCTCTAAATCTAGATTCCTACGAAATGAAGGAAGTCCAGAGAGGGACTTGCTCAAGGTTCCTCAGTGAGTAACAGAGTGCTGGGCTGTTCTATCCACTGCACCACATTGTTGAACCCAATTAGGGGTAGCCTGAGAGCAGAGAGAGAGAGACCTCGAAGCCGTGATAGTGGTTAGAGGAATGATTTATAAGCCCCTATTGTATTCTAATCAGTATTATTCAGTTTAGTGGGATTTTATAGGGTTAGTGATTATTAGTTTTATACTTATCCATTAATATACATTCAGTCAGTCTAGTCAACTAATATTATGACAGGAATTGTATACTTTACATATATTTAGGGATAATTAGATGAGATAGATTCTTTCTCATAATAGGCCCCAAACTTTAAACTACAGGCTATAAGTTCACTAACCTGTTTTAAAGTTTACTTGCCTAACCACCAGAATGCTGACCTCAGCCTTTTGGCCTGTAGGACCAAGGCCAATGTGGGCAAGAGGATGGCAGGACTCCAGGCCTCTGCCCACTTTTGTTTCATCACCCTGCCCAAATCCAGCATGGGTGGGATGTCTTGACGTGGTATGGAAAGTCCCTCAACTTATTTTTTACCCCCAGACCACCCCCTCTTGCCCAACAATGAGGAGGTGCCCATCTTGTGCACTTAGCAGAGATGACCCTTGCTTGACCATCCTGTGACCACCCATGCTGATGCATCATTTCAGGCCCTCCTGGACGGTCAAGAGCTAGGTCTATCAACCAATGAGATTCTGTATTTTACTTTACCTTTTCTGTGCCTCTGGCTATCAAGCACTGTAAAACTAAGGCCCTGGAGAGAGGGGAAATCTCCACTTGTGAGGAAGATGTGAGGTCCACTTTATTGGAAGGGGCCATGGAGCTTTCAATAAAGTGCTTTTGGCCCAGAGATCTGCCTTAGTTTCTTTTATTGTACATTGAAGAATTTTGGACCCCACAGTGGTGTTGGCATTCTACCTACCATTATCCTGCCCCCCCCCATAATCCCTTCACCAAACTTAGTGTGTAAACACCTTCCCAATGGTGTCAAGTGGGCAGGATGGGTGGGTGGAACTTTGAGGACTTCCCCTCTTCTTGGGTACCGCTGAGGGCTTCTGCATGTACCGTTATAGTGGGTTCCTGTACATGACGTGAACACATAACCTCTAGGTAAGTAGGTTGGAGGGGAGGAGAGAGACAGACCCAGAGAGACACAAAGAAGGTCAGACAGAACGTATAACTATGAATTTGAGTTTTACGTGTGACTAAATTATACTTTGTTTCCTTTCAAGGTTCTTTGCAGGTGGATTCTAAGCATCAAAAAGAATTATCGGAAGAACGTAGCCTACCACAATTGGCGACATGCCTTTAACACGGCCCAGTGCATGTTCGCTGCATTGAAGTCGGGCAGAATTCAGGTAGGCGCCCACTCCCTTCTCACACTGTTCCAAGTCATACCTCTGCCTTGTTTCATTTTTAATGCCAACGCTGAAAACACGGTTTAGTCCATTCCACTTACATTCCGAGATGGAGAAAGCCCTCACCTTTATGCCTGAGGAGGCTCCGTTAAAGGAGCTGCTCAGACCGAAGAAGACTTGGGGGGGTAATGTGATCATCTCCTTCAGAGGCTGGAAAGGCTGACGTTAGAAGGAGAGTTTGGTCCCAGAGGTCAGAACCAGGAGCAGGGATGTTTTGAGAGGCAAATGTAGGCTTGGTGTGCAGAAAACTTCCTAACGGTTGTTGTTCAGTTGTTTCAATCATGTCTGACTCTTCAGGACTCCATTTGGAATTTTCCTGGCAAAGATACAGGAGTGGTTTGCCATTTCCTTCTCCAGCTCATTTTACAGATGAGGAAACTGAGGCAAACAGGGTTAAGTGACTTGCCCAGGGTCACACAGCTAGTAAGTGTCTGAGTTCAGATTTGTATTCAGGTCGTCCTGACTGGAGGCCAAGCATATATCCACTGGGCCATGTAGCTATCCTAACAATTAGAGCTCCCCAAAACTGGAATTGGAGAGGATGAGTTCCTGTTCCGTGGACATCTTTAAGCAGAGGCTGATCATCCACCCACTGAGTAAGCTGTGAAAGTGGTTGTTTTTCATGCCCCGGAGGTCCCTCCAAACTGGAGGCTGTGATTCTGTTTAAGTTCTACAGGTTTCATTGTTGTTGAAGGAAGAGCAAAACAGCAACCTTTAACCTCATTGTAGCTGTCCTTCCATTGTATACATAGTATCTTTGTTTCCACCTGATTTCACCCATTTGGATGTGCTCTCCCCCAGTGCGGATCGCAGGCCATTTATTAAAATGACCCCTCAAAAAAGAGACTGGTTTCATGGAACCCCATCATATATACCCTGCAGGATGAGAATTGATCATTATTGTTTAGTTGTTTTCAGTCGTTTCTGGCTGTTGTGGGTTTTCTTGGCAGAGATACTGGAGTGGTTTGCCGTTTCCTTCACAGCTCATTTTATAGATAAGGAAACTGAAGAAATAGGGTGAAGTGACTTATCCAGGGTCACACAGCTAGTGCGTGTTTGAGGTCAAATTTGAATTCAGGTCTTCCTGACTCCAGGGCTGGAGCTCTATCCATTGCACCACCTAGCTGCCCCAATTGGCAATGGAAAGCAGTATTGATGGTGTTAATAGGAAAAAGTGAGATATTTCCCCTCCTCTATTCTCAACCTGCAAGAGGTCAGGGAACACAGCCTGGAAATTGAGAGACTTGGGTTCAAGCACTGGCCCCAGACCACCGAGGTGTGTGACTTAAGACAAGGCCCTTCACCTTCTGAGCTTCAGTCTCCTCAGGGATAAAATGAGGGTGCTGGGAGGTGATTGATCCTGGTTCTGTCACTTAATAACTGTGTGATACTGGGAGAGTTCAGTCCTCTGAAGTGAAAACAAACCACATGTTGGTTTTATCACAGTTCTAAGTTTTGAAAGTCAGATTTTGTACTCTAGAGACAGTTTTATATGGGTAGATACTGTTAAAGAACATAGTTATCTTAAGGAAATGGTAATTATCACTGTGTCGTTCACGCTCTTTTTAAAAATGTATAAAGAAATAAATATGTGCCTCAGTTTCCTCCTCTGTAAAGTGAGAGGGTTAGACTGGATGATTTCCAAGGTCTCTTCCAACTCTACATAAGGGACACTGTCCCTTTAAGGCTAACAGTATTTCTGGGTAAAGGAGAAGATTGGAATCTACCATTAAAGGGTTTAAGATATTGCTGCCATTATAGATGAATATTTAGATGCAGGGGGTCACCAGGCCACCAAAGGGCAGTCAAACTGGCTCAGGTCAGAAACAGAGCAAGTCAGAGCTTCTGTGGCAACCAGCCATGGGCTCAGCCTGTGATAGAAATGCCAAGTCTCAAAAAAAACCAAAAACAAAAACAAGGAAAATAAAATGAAGTTGTGAGTGGCTGGTTGTATAATATCACATACCAGGTGGACACATTATACTTTAAGTAGCTGGTTGTATTCATGGGAAATCCATCAGTGGGGCTTAAGAGTTAGAGAATGAGTAGGGGGAGGGATTCCCCAATGGGATTCTCAATGGGATTACCCTTCGGACTCCCTGAGAGTTTGATTGTAACCATCTGGGGGAGTTTGCGTGTGACCATATGGTAGTCTACCGCTGGAATCTAGACCTACCAGGGCAAGGGCACAAGGGAGTAAGTAAGCCAACCCAGAGAATAACAGGTGTTCACACTTCCATGCAAGGGTAATAAATCTACTGCACTGATAGCACCACTCACCCATTGATGCCCAAGCATGGCGTTCTCATAGTGAGCAGCATGTCATATACAGGGAACCTCATTACCTGTGTTCACAAAGATCCCCTTGAGCTCCAAATTCTATATGCTCTCTGATTCCCAAAGATGATTCCATCTTGGTTTCCTACAGGACACCTGTTGAATTAAAAAAAATTGAACATTACAAATACTATTGATAGAATGAGGTTAAGGGTCACACTGATTGGCCAAAGTAGCAGTTAAGATAACTGATCAGAGGCCTTTACCAGAGCACAGAGCCACAGCAGGGATAGTTACTTCCCAGACTGAAATCCGAATGGTCCTCTGGTGTCTCCTTGCTAACTTCAGGGGAATTGAGTAGCCCAGGGGTGGCCACATGTGGCCTGGGGGCTGCAGGCTCCCCACCTCTGGAATAGCCCAACTAAATAGGGTCTGATTCCATAATGCGGCAGAAGAATTTGACTTTTTTTAGAGCTGTGCCAGACACTGTTTAAATAGATTTTACACAGGAAAAATAATAGAAATATAGAAATCCCTCACTTTTTCATGTATGTACATACATATACACACATATACACATATGTATATACACACATGTATACACACACATACATGCATTATGTGTATATACTTATGTGCATGTACATATATACACGCATACATGTATGCATGTATATATGTGTATGTTCCATAAATACATGAATATGTGTGTGTAGGTTTTGTTAGAAGTCTGAAGTTACCCCCTGCTTCTAGTTTCATAGGCTTCTGGTTTTCACTGGCTAGTTTTTCCAGAGGGATTGTTTTCAAAGCACTCAAATAAAATGGCTCAACAATAGTTTTCCTTTTCTAGCTTCTGGCCAAAGTTATACAAAGTATCCCAAACATCTTAGTACATTTTTAAGCCATTCAAGGTTATTAAAGGCGAGGGTGGGGGGTGGGGGGGACTGTTAAAGCTTATTATGGGGTAAAATTCCAAAAAATCAAACTTGGATTCCTCCCCCCATCCCAGAAATAGAGAGTGCATGTGATCCCTCCAGCTTTAAATCCAAGAGTTGATGACGTTATTTTTCCTGTGTAAAACCTCCTTGTGCTAGCTAGATCTCTGAGTTGAAGATAGTCAACTCTCCTTCATCCTTCCTAATAGAAGAAAATCTAAAAAACAGATTTCACCAACTGTTTCCTTCATTTTGTACCTTTTGGTAATGACTTGTTCAGGTGATCAGGTGAATCTATGGTTCGGACAGTCTAGCTCAGCTGTATTCAGTGGAGTTGGAGGCAAGATGTCTGAGCAGAGAGGCAAAGCCTGGTAATTTCAGGTGTTCTAGGTATGTCTAACCCACAGCTGGCTAGAGGAGGCCAGGATGATTACCTCAAATACCAGCATCTGGGGGGCAGCTAGGAGGCGCAGTGGATAGAGCTCCAGCCTTGGAGTCAGGAGGATCTGAGTTCAAATGTGACCTCAGACACTTGAAACTTACTCGCTGTGTGACCCTGGGCAAGTCACTTAACCCTGATCGCCTCACCAAAAAGCAAAAACAAAACAAACAAAAAAATAAAATGCCAGTATCGTGCTGTTCTGAAGGGACTGGACAGATGATCCTAGGGATCCTAGTTACATCTTTCAATAAAGGTCATTTGTAACCAGAGCCACACCATGAGGCTGATTTGTGTCCAGTTCATTTCAGCCTGAAGTATGTTTTATGGGGTTCCAGCCATACCGAGGTGCTCTGGGGCCAAAATGAGGGGCACGTAGCTCAGATATTGGGCTCATGTCGTCATCAAAAATGTATCCGCACCTACCCACCAAACCCAATGAGATCCCATCGATTCTCTGCCTGATGTGCCCAGCATTCACACCTCTTCCTCTCTGTGTCTCCTTGTATGCAAAGAACCAGCTGACCGACCTGGAGATCCTGGCCCTGCTGATCGCAGCTCTGAGTCATGACCTGGATCACAGAGGGGTGAACAATTCTTATATACAGAGGTAAACACATCTGCAGAGGGCAGAGGGCAGAGGACAGACCTAATGTTTGGGGGCTAAATGATAGAGGGGCCTTTTTCTTCAAAGCCTTAGAAAACATTTGACATTTGTTTTTCATCCAATCAATAAACATTTATGAAGCCCCTACTATGTGCCAGGCACTGTGCTTGGGGATACAATGAATAAAAAGACAGTCCCTGCCTTCAAGCAGCTTACAATCCACTGGGTACTTGCTTTACCTGAAATATCAAGAGGGGTCTTTTTCCCAGCCTTGGAGTCATTTAAAGACCATGGAGGCTAACTCCCTTATTTGACAGATGAAGAAACTTGGTGCACAGCTGGGATCTGAGCCTAAGTCTTTGGTCTGATGAGGCAGCAGGTTGTAGCAAAGACAGTGCTGGCCTTGGAGTTAGAAAGACTTGGGTTCAAATCCTGCCTCTGCCATTTACTATCTGTATGATAATGAACAAGTTACCCTCTCTGAGCCTCAGTTTCTTTATCTGTAAAATGGGAATCATAATAGCACTTATCTTACCAGGTTGTTGTGAAGATCAAGTAGGATAGTGTGTGTAAAGAACCTTGGAAATCTTAATATGCTATCTAAATATTGGCTATTATTCTATTACTTAGGAATGGTAATGATAATAATGATAATAATAATAATAACCCCATCAAATAGAGAAGAATGAGCTCATCGAAACTGATGTTTCCATGGCACTAGAAAGCTTGCAGGGCACTTTCATTACTTTATTTAATTTGAGTGCAAGAATGACCCCATCAAGTAGGCACCACAAGTCATATTGGTTCCATTTCACAGGTGAGAAGACTGAGGCTCAGCCAAGTTAGCTAACTTTCCTAGGAATTGTTTTATTTTGGGGTATTTGTATCACAGAGCAGACACTTAATAAATGCCTGTTGACTGATTGCTTTGTCCCACTGCTGGGAACACTAAGACTAACATTACCGAGCATCTGTTATCACTTTAATGTAATATTTGCAAAATGCTTTCCGTATGTTAGCTCCTCTCGTCCTCCCAACAATCCTGTTCTACTAGTAGGTGTTGTCGTTATCCCCATTTTACAGATAAGGAAACTGAGTCCCAGAAGTTCAATGATTTGCCCAGAGTCACACAGCTAGGCAGTTTCAGGGGCAGGATTGGAATCCAAGTACAGCACATGTATTCCCTCCCCCTCCCCAACCTTAGAATGTAAATAAGCTCCTTGAGGGCAGGAACTGGCTTGCTTGCTTGCTTTTTTTGAGCATGTGTCCAGTGTTTAGCACTTTGTCTGGTATATAGTAAGCATTTAATAAATGTTCACTTTATCTATCTATGCCATGATGCTCTACCAGTCCAAATAAATGGAATGATAACTTAGATCTCTGTTTTTCCCCTGTAGAAATAACTAACGAGTTGTCTAAGGGTCGGTGTGTGTAGTGGATCGAATGTTAGGCTGGAGGCTCAAGAAGAACCAGGTTCAGATCTTTCCTTGATCTCCTACAAGCTCTCCTCTGGCCACAGGCAACCTACCCCGAGCCTTGGTTTGCTCATCTCCACCCCTTGGGCTTGTGAGGCTCCCATGTGACGTTTAATGAACAGTGCTTTAGGATCATCAGAGAGTGCTACTCCCCCATAGCTTTAAGGCGGGTTGGGAGAAAAGAGTATTTTCACCTGGGACATCCTCAGACAGCTTCTGACGACAGCCCAATGGTGCCCACCAAAGGAAGGCCTTCATGGCCAAGTGAGGAATCGGTCTTCCTTATCCTCCACCACCATCATCATTTCTCTTTCTTAGCCTGAGGTCAATAACATGGTGATTTTGTTACAGCTCCAATTTTTAAAAAATCTAAATCTTAGTGATCAAATTTTACATTTTAGAGCAGTTCTATATCGACAGATAGATACGATCTTATAAGATTGCTGTCTTAAGGAAATGACAGCTGTTAGTGTGTGTCCAGGCTTGTTTTCTAAACGGTTGTATACATGTGTAAATAAATAAATGTTCCAACAGCTAAATAAATTATAAACAGTGTCCCAGGCTGACCTGGTCATGAGAAAAAGCGTCATGCTATTAGCCAAGTGGCAGAGACTTAGACTTTGCTGCTTAGAAGGCTGTTGTTTTGTCCAAGCTGCCTTCTGATGCCTCCCTGGCCCCAGAGCATCCTCAGGTGCAGTCGGGGTCTGTGGCATCACATTCAGTAAGAAAGAAACTAGGAGGTACCTGCAAAGGGGCAAGGGGAGGGGGGACATCAGAGAGCTATAGAATAAAAGCAGAGGTTTGGAGATCACTGCTATCATTGCTTTGATCAACCTGACAAATCTCTGTGACCCCTGCCAGATTCTGAGATCTAACAAAAAGAGACGCATCCCCCCCAAAGATGTCTAATAACATTAAGTGGGAGGTTATCAGTACAACTCCCCTACCCTGACACCACCAAAGGTCATTCAATTGGCCAGAGACTAGAACCATTCAGTTATTTTTTTTCTTCTGTTTATTTAAAAATACATGTCTCAGAAAACATCTGGAGAGACGTCATCTCCACTTCAGAAAATGTCCTGGGAAAAAAGACAGTAATGCAGAATTCTGGATCCACGTCCACTGGAAAGCAGGCAGTTTTAGCTCCATTGTGACCTTTTTCTTTCCTTTTTTTCAATCCTTGAGCATTTCCAGGGTTTTCTTCTTTCTAAATCCCTGTGGTTAGACAAGTCATGGGGCGAGGGGGAGGGACTCAAAATTTTCCAGGGATGGTTCTCATTTTGGTGTTCTCAGCACATAAAGGCAGCTGGGTGGTACAGTGGATAGAGCACTGGGCCTGGACTCAGGAAGACCTGAATTCAATCCTTCCCTTCATACTTAACTAGCTGTGTGACCCTAGGCAAGTCACTTAACCACTGACTGCTTCAGTTTCCTCAATTGTAAAATGGGGATGAAAATATCACTTACTTACCAGGATTGTTGTGAGGATCAAATGAAATAATATTTATAAAGCATTAGCATAGTGCCTGGCATATAGTAGGCACTTAACAGGTGCTTCTTTCTTTCCTTCCAACTCCTAGCCCTGGGCATTTTTACTGGCTGTTCTCCACGCCTGGAATGAGCTGGCGCGCTCTCGCTCTCTCTCTCACTCTATCTCTGTCTCTGTGTGTATGTGTCTCTCTCTCTGTCTCTCTGTCTCTGTCTCTTCTCTGTCTTTCTCTCTGTC